TCTTAACCTCAGTTGCATGAGTGATTTATTTAACTGGAGACAGGACTCACCCCTCACCCTCCAACTTGGACAAACAACTCTGTGTGATGTTGGCCCCGGGCTATAGTTCAAACATCTATTTTCAACTCGTAACAGCTTCCCACTGTCCTGACGAAGATAGAATGGAAAGAAGATTTACTTATTTCTAACATATTCCAAGGTGAAATCTTTTATAAAATTTCAGACAGATATGTATAATAAATTAGTAAGCCTAAATTATAATTGTCTACTTTATTTCCTAATTTCTGATTATTTTTGATTTAGTGATTTTTATCTTTGTCTTAGAAGTGTAAGGGATAGAAATTAAAGCTACCAATATACTTCTAACTTTTCTCTCTTTTTAAAAGAATATGTTTTTATTTATTTTAGAGAGAGGAAGGGAGAAGGGTAGAGAGTCAGAAACATCATGGATCAGCTGTCCCCCACCCCCTCTGTGGTCCCCCTACTGGGGATCAAGTTCACAACCTGGGCATGTGCCCTGACTGGGAATTGAACCCTCAGCTTCTTGGTTCATGGGTTGACACTCAACCATTGAGCCACACTAGCTGGGTGTAACTTTTCTCCCTTCAAACTACTCATTTAGAAAACTATATATAAGTCTGATGTCTACCCAAGTGTCACTCACAGGGAGCCTGCATAGTAAAATGTGGGGTGAACACACCATTGACTATGACAGAGCGCTTAGATACATCCAACTAGATCCGGTTTCCCAAATGGCTGGACTTCATGACACTCTTAGAATCTCAACAATTATATCACGGTACTCCTAGGACAACAGAAATGCGAACGGTTCTGTTTATTAAGTAGTTAGGTGCAAACAGCTTAATATATCTAAATGCCCTAACAAGTTGGTAGCTGCTTGAAGAAAATAATACACATATGTTGGAGGAGAAAATATTTCATTTTTAATCAAAATGACTTCCCAAGGGGACGTGTGAGCCTGTGGGGCGCTATGCAGCGTCTCAGATAGTGGGATCAGATGGGATACACCATCCTTGCTTTCTGTTTCACCTTGATTTCCCTGCAGTACTAGTTCCTCACTGCAACCGCGGAAAGCGCAGTGTGGCCAAGACAGGGGGGAACAGCCTAGAGAGGCGTGCAGCGCAATCTAATGCTGGGCTGGGAGCTGCCTCCCGTTAGCAGTGCACGGGTGCCTGCCAGACGCTGAGTATCTCTGTGTCTTCTTAGAAAAGTAAAAATATCCTGGGCACCCTTATGGGTTCCCTGCAGCTTCTCAGGCACGCGGTTTGGGAACCACAGGATTAGATATACATATAACAACAGCAACAAAGCCTAAAAACAGTGCTGCATAAAAAAGATCTTACAAACCATGGCCTCGGGGGCACCCCGAGCCTGCTCTTGCAAGGTTTCCATGACCCGCCTCCTCGCTGCTGAATGGGGGACAGGCTTCCATGCAGCGCCTGACCCTGTTGCGCGTCAGCTCCCAGGAAGGTCCTTCCACGGGCTTCCGTCGGCCCCCTCCCTCATGGTCTCTTCCTGCACCTTGACTTGTCCTTTGCAGGTGCCTCTGGGGGTCTCCAGCTGTCCCACCTGCATCCTTTCTACAGGTCCCTCCCTTCGGGACCGGCTGCTCATTTCCAAACCATTGTCTTCAGCCACACATCCAACGGCTTCTTCACCATCTCTACTCAGACGTCCACAGGCATCACCAACCTTCCGGGTCCTGACTAAACTCACCTTCTTCCCTCCGGCCTGCTTCTCCATCCATGTCTCCTAACTCCGAGAATAGAGCCACCCTCATCTGGGCGTGGCCTGTGGCCGATGGCATTGGTGGCCATGGTTCTCCCTCCTCCCTGTGTCCCACCTTTGCCAGGTCTCATTCCCACCACTTGCCCGTGGGGGTCAGAGAGGCAGAAGTGCAGATGCCATTTCCAAGCCTGGACCTGCAGAGGCCTCACACGTTTGCCCTCGCCCTCTTACGCTCGGCTGCTTTAGGAGAGGGGCATGCTGGGAGTACTCTGCTGGTCCCAGGAAGAGAAAGATGAGAGGCACGCGCAGCAGAGCCACCCAACTGGCCCCAGTCTAGGTCAGCTCACCCTCTGCTGACCCGCTGACGTGTGAGGAACAACAAAAGATTGTTGTTCTAGCCACCAAGTTTGAGGGTGTTTTTATGCATCAACAGTTAACCAACCAGGTCACCTAGACCAGAAAACTGGGCATTGTCCTTCTCTCCCTCTCTCAGTCCACAGCGTCCCGGAACTTCCTAAATATCTCTTGAGTCCATTTACTTCTCTCCACCCATTCGCACCTCTGCCCTGGGTCAGGCCTCCTGCAACCACTTTGGAACCAATTTTCCCTTCCTCCCCTTGCCCCCCATTCTCCTAGTAGTATCTTCAGTGCTCTTCCTAGTCTGCAAATGGGTCACGTGACTCCTCTTCTGTGGATGGCTTTGCCCATTTAGAGCCCGGGTAAGAGACACGTCCAAGCCCACGGCTTCCCAGAATCCCTCTACCACTGGCTGCCCCTTTTCAGGACATCAACAAGGAAGACAAGAGGAGAGGCACTGACAGTATGGAATTAAGAGACCTGTCTTCATTCCCTGCTAATGATCAGACCATACGCAAGTAAATGGGCTTTCAGACGCCCAGTCTTCTCTGTGGCCACAGCGAAAGGGCTATGATATCAAGGGAAAGGGTGAGTCACCAGAAAGGCAGAGGTGCCACAGCCCAAGAGGAAGGCACCCTCAGCAAGACAAGGCCTCCCTGCGAGGCCTTGAGAAAGGAGCCTGGGAAAGCCTTCCTGGGACGTTTGTGTGTTGCCACCGGCCTGTTCGCCAGGCTGCCCAGCAAACTGTCCTGTTTAGTGGTTAAACGTGGATTCTGGAGTCCAACTCACTGGCTCTGGGCCCAGCTCTGCTGTGATCTTGGGACTTGGGGCCAAAGGAGGATCTGGGCTCCAGGCAGTTCAGCAAGAGAGAGCTAGGTAACTAGAGCAGTGGTCGGCAAACTCAGGAGTCAACAGAGCCCAATATCAACAGTACAACGATTGAACTTTCTTTTGAGAGCCAAATGTTTTAAACGTAAACTATATAGGTAGGTACATTGTTATTAACTTAATTAGGGTACTCCTAAGGCTTAGGAAGAGCCACACTCAAGGGGCCAAAGAGCCGCATGTGGCTCATGAGCCGCAGTTTGCCGACCAGGGAACTAGACCATTGCATCGGGCTGGGAAGCTCCTGAGAGGGCCGCCTCTCCTAGGTGGGTGTTGGCAGGGCTTGGGAAGAAGGCAGTCCTAGGGACAGAAGGACAGGGCCTGGTGGAATGAGGGGGGCGGGGAGGGAAGGTGTCCCCAGCTCCAGGAGGAAAGGGAGTGCCTCTACTGTACTCTCGGCTCTCCCCCGCCTTCACCATGCCCTGGCGCCTCAGGAGTTCTGGTTTTGGATGCAGAGGTGGAATGTGGCACATGGGGAGACACTCAGATTGGCTGGGTCAGGACAGGGCCTGCTGGAGCCCACTGCCTCCAGCCCAGGGCACCTTTCCCTGTGACCCCAGAGTCACCCCCATGAGTGGGCATCTGTTCCAGTACCCAAGGTCTCCAGGCCGAGGGCCACCAGACATAGGAAGGGGCAAGCTGGCTTAAAGCTGGATGGGGAGGGGGGACGGGGTAGGGGCTTGGTGCGAGCGGGTTGCGCAGAGCGCGCCTGTCCCGTGCACAAGTTCAAAGTCCCAGCGTCCCAGCCCGGGACCGAGCG